ATTTGATTTTAATTTGACAAATTATGAAAGTTTGGACCCTTAGGGGCAAAATGGTAATTTTGGACATTTTGGCCTTAATAAACATTTAGGCTTAATTAAAATGGGAAGTGGGTAATTTCTGATATTAATTAACTCATTTGATGATTTTCAATGAAAAATTGGCTTAATTGGTAGAAATTCACTTTGCCAAATTATAAGATAAAAGAATAATTCTCATAATTATCAAAATTTTGGAAACTTCATTAGCATAAGATGACTTTTGAATTTAGGGGTATAACTTTGGAAATCAATGATTTCACATCCTTGTTTAATAATTAAAAGGATGTTTAAATGATCTTGATAATGATCACTTAAAGTTTTAAATCTTTTCAAAATCAATACACACACTGAATACATTCACTTCGGTCTTAAGGACTTAGTGGTGAACTTAATTTGAAATCCACTTGTTAAAAGAGGATTAGAAAAATCAACATAATCAAACTCTTTTAAAACACCATAAGTCCAATTAGGACTAAAATTTGGCTAAGTTTCTTAATACACTAATTTGCCCCCTTTAGGGTCTTCACCAACATAATCTTTAAATTAAAAGACAAATGACATTCACCCGATTCTTAGGGATAATCAAGACATCAATGTTCACTGAGCATCAGGTTGTTCCTAGGATGAATTATTAAGCAACATAATAAAGTTTAAATGAACCCAAAGCCTTTTACCAAATATTAAGAAGGTTGCATGGACCTGCTCCTTACTCTTAACCTGGTGAATACCTTAGGAATCCATTAAACTTAATATGTTTTATTTAATAATATTATCCTTAAAATTTAAGGACCCTTAATACACAACATAGAGTTAGGAAGGTTTCCAAAACTTTACTTTTCCAGCTCTATATACATAAATGCTCTGACAAGCATTTTGAGTTTCAGGTGGTGGAACGAGAAGACTCGTCAGGATGCAAGCGGTAAGCAGGACGAGGATGCAAGCGGACGAAAGACTACTTCAATTGACGATCAATACTCTGCAATGAAGTAAATCTACTTTAACTAAACTTTCCTTAGTATTAATTAACATAAACACTTAGAACTTCGAGCTCATTCGTCAAGCACGACATAAATCCTCACACTATCTTTAAGCTTTTGCACAATCATGTTGTGCAGTATAAGTCCCGACTCCTTTAGGATTCCGAGGTTGTCGTTCGGTACGACGAAAATCCTCCCATCTTCCTAGGTCGTTTGCATGATCGTATGTTGTGCAGATATAAGTCTTGATTGTCGAAATAAATGCAGAATTGAACCATTAACTAATCTTTTCTTCTAAAACGTAAAGTCAAACAACATGATAACTTAGGAAGTCATTTAGGTCCTCTTCAGATCTGTGACATCTCATACTTCTCGCTCATTTGACCTCCAAAATAACTAGCCATATTTGGTATGTTCCCACTTGACTTTTCCTACAAACAACTGTGAAAACTCAACATTAAATTCTTGAAGACGAAACCCTTGATCTTAATCGAGAGTTTTCGTAAGTGATTTCGACTGCCTAATATGTAATTAACTATAAGGGCTTGACTCTACATGGAACTAAGAACCCAAGTAAAATAAATCCTGTTTAATTTTTACATATTAGATAGATGAGCTATCAGTCATATATAAAGTTTCACAGACTAAACGAATATCATAAATTTCTTAGTTTAAATATTTGAGCATATTGACAAGTGATATGCTTATCTTTTTGGGTGGTATACTACTTGTGGTATTGTCCTCAACCATTTAAACTATTATAAATATGAGATCTCTCCGGTCTTATTTTCTAAAATTAAAATGTTATTTTCAAAATCAAAATTATATATCTATTAAATTAAAAAAAAAAGGAATTAATTTTTTTCGAAAAAGTTGGCAGACAAGATATGAGAGAAAATTTTATGTGTTATTATTAGAGGATTGTGACATCTTCAAGTGGGCGGATCAGTTAGATGATTTCGGCTCATATAGTAGTTTAGCATGAAATGTTTCTTTGGAGAAGAATTTATCCCGTGAACTTAATCATCTGTGTTTCAAATTCAATATCATGATAATATTAATTGTTATTTTAATAGTTTAATTTTAAATTTTACTTGTCGAGTTACTCATTGTTCAGTGAGTCGTCCGTTTTAAGATGTAATGTTTGAACTTATAGTTTTTTGAGGATTCTGATTATAATTATATTTTTTGGTTCTATTATAAATTGCAACGAGATTGGGCCAAAAAATATTTTTAATTATAAATAACTTCAACACAACTATACAAAATAATCACACAACTAAACAAAATAATCACACAACTTCACTTTTAAGAAAATTACAGCTACCCATCCGTTGAACCGGCATTCCAATTTCCAAAAACGTTTTAAAAATTAAAGCAGTGGAAAATCAGCTGCTAAGGCGGCGCGGCGCTGCACGTTTTCATTTTTTTTCACTTTATTTATAGATGTTTATCCCTTCACGATTCAAAGGGTTGAAGTCTATTTATTTATTTATTTATTTTACTTTGAAGAGAATAATAGACTTGCTCCGGCTTTCATGTGCATTACCAAGGTGGCGAAGCCTAGCGAGTCAGATGATATCAAGAGGTTCTTCTCTGCGGCAGAGGAGGAAGAAGAAGAAGAAGAAGAAACGGGTCCTACTGCCGGAACGGCCGCAACTCCCCCGCCGGGAGTTGGGCTATTATCTGGTTCTGCTCGGGAAAGGGAGATGTCGGTCATGGTATCGGCTTTGACACGTGTTGTTACCGGAAATGAACCGGCGGCGGCAGCGGCACCGTCTTCGTCGTCAAATGGACCGGGCGGCGGCAGCGGCACCGTCTTCGTCGTCGTCTTTCATTTCACCGGGCGGCGGCGGCGGCGGTGGCGGGATTAAAAGAGAGAGGGAAGAGCTCATGAGTCCTAAGTCGGTGAGGCATTACAGAGGGTTCTTTGCAGGGGAGTCTTCCACGAGTTCTGCAGGTAAAGGAGAGATTTTTATGAATTTGTTTGTCCCCCATTTCTCATCTTCCTCTGTTTCATCGTTTTCATTGGTGGCTATGAAATTCCAAAAAAAATTGATACTGAAATCAATCAATGTTTGTTTCAGGGAATTTAGTCACATGATTTGGGAAAAAGTAACATGATTTAATATAAATTTTGAATTTCACTGAATTCATTTCAAATTTCTAGATTTATTATTGATTCCTCTAAACAGCAAGATTTTAAGAAAGAGTGCTGGTTTTAAGAATGTAGTGAATCTATTTTTTTTATATATTTATTTAAATTCATTTTTAAGGAAATAGAAGATGTCGGCAATCCCATCTTTTTTTTGGTATTTGTCAATCGTAAATGCACGAAGATGAAATTTATAAAATTTGCTCTTCTTAATTATTTTACCAGAATCCAATACTGTTACATTTTGAGTTCAATTATCTTCAAATTATATATTTTTATTGCTGTTAATGCTAAAATCATAAGGATTTATAGGGAAAAAAGCCGTCTTTTTTATTAAATTGTTTACTTCATAAATTTTCAAGGATAAATCCGAAACGATTATCTTGCAAAACAAAGTAAAAAAAAAAGTTGTGCCGATAAACTCAAAAATTGTCTGCAGGAGTCATAATTGTTTAATCTTTCAAGCGTTTTATATCCTTATCCAGTCGCTTTACTTCATGTACATTCTAGAACATTTACGCGAAGATATTCCTCACAAATATCTACAATTGCCACCCTCATCTAGCTTTACTGTTGCAAGGATAATTTGGATTTGACATTAGATATAGACTAAAATCTGTCAATAATTGTAGATTCTTAAAATTTAATCCACATCTATTCATATATCTTTGACTTGAATCACACTTTTACAGATGAGCTTCTAACAAAAATGTGATAACTTTCCTTCATTGCAAAAACGAAAAAGTTTACCTCTTTATCACTGTTCTCAGGATTCTAAGAGAATTCAACAAAATTAATGAAGATTTATAATATCCGCATGAAATTTATTTCAAAATTAAAGTTTTTTTTCCTAATAATCTCCATCTCCATACAGCACCGAAGCAGAGCCGGCAGAGCTATCTAGCAATAGCACAATCCCCATTTTCATCAACTCCGGCGACATTGCAAGAACCACCCACACTACCCCCTGACACAGAGAAAGAAGTTCACCGGAGATACAGAGGAGTCCGGCAACGGCCATGGGGTAAATGGGCGGCGGAAATTCGAGACCCACACAAGGCGGCACGTGTCTGGCTCGGCACCTTCGAAACAGCCGAGGCTGCCGCCAAGGCATACGACGAGGCTGCGCTCCGCTTTCGTGGAAATAAAGCAAAGCTTAACTTCCCCGAAGCAGTACAGCTCCAGCAACCTATCAACGTATCTCCGGCGATACGGTTGACGGAATCTGGTCCTCCGGCGAGAACTACAGAGCCAGTTTGGCCGTCTTCACTATCCCAAACAATGGGCATGGCTAGAGATTACGTGGAGTACTCGAGATTGTTGCAGGGAACAGGGGAGTACCAGGGGATGCCGCCCACAGCGTTATTGGATCAGTTAATGCATTCGAGCTCATCCATGGCGTCGACTTCTCATAAAGAACCGTCTTTTGGTTCTCATTCGGTGTCTTCACCGCCATTTTCCATATCTTCGAGTTACTCAGCAGCGGCGGAAGCAGGACGGCAGATGGGTGTTTTTTGGCCACCGGGCGGTGGCACCAACACGTCGCCGTCATCGCCATCGTCATCCCCGCCGTGGAATGCATCCGCCATGGATCCGCCACGTTCTGGATAGTTACACAAAAGAGGATTTTCAGAATAAAAAAAAAATTTATATAATTAGATGTTTTATAAATTTGTGCACATAATAGTGGGTGGAAATGTCATACATTTAAGAAAAAAATACAGGAGGATAGGGAAACAAAATTTAGTTTTTATTTATGGGAATATTTAAGAATTTTTATGGGATATATGTATACAAGTTGGATTTTTTGTTTATTTTATATTGAATTTCTTTGTGAGGAAGGTTAGTTGGTTCTTTGGATTGTTGTTCAGGTTTTGACCACCAGACATTTATTTTTTTAAGTTCGTTGACTGAAAAGTATTCAGGATAGGTGTTGACTGCTGGTTTCGAGAAGGGAGTTGATGTTTTAGACGAAATAAAATATTTAATTTGTCGGCGAATTACGCGTTTCTTCCCTATGATGAACGTCAGAGCCGAGTCAAAGTGGCTTTGGGTTCTTCATACGACAGAGATCGCACGCACGCAATTCCTCTCTACTTACACGCTCAAATCCTGATTTCCCATCACATCAATAAAAAAAATACTCATCCTGACTCAGTATGTATCCGAAGTCTAATAATTAGACGACATGTGTTAAGTGAGCCGCATCACTTTTAACACCGACAGATGTTAGTATATTAGGGTGGGATCCATGTGGCACGTGACACCTCATGATTGGACTCCGGGCATTTACGTTCACAACAAGACTTTCACTGTTCATGAGTCAAATGGCCTTTTTTTTCTTATGCTTGTACGCAGATATAAACAGAAGTGCTAGATAGATGGCCAAGTTACATGTATGCCCCCCAATTTTTATGTATTTACATATTTAATAACTAAACATTTTTATATCATGGGAGTCTTTCAAGTCACATAATATTTTAACTTTAATTAAAATTTAGGTGTTACACATGTAAATACATGGGAATTGAGTAGTATGCGTGTAAATCTTCCAATAATAATTAAATTTTTTTTGAATGTGACCAAATAATATTGATGAGAAAGGATGGAAATTATTTCTCAAAAAAATAATGAGTTCAAATAATAAATATTAATATTTATTGTGTATTATCTTAAGATAAAAGATCATAATCATTTAAAAAAAAAAAATCAATTACTGATCAATAGAGAGTTGGTGAAATTATAGAGCATAATTTTCTATAAGCTCAATTACTAGAAATCTTAAAAGAAAACATTAGGGATAAGACTCTTGCTAATAGATTTCTATAACCTTAAAAATGAGGTTGGATGATGAAGAAAACTATGCCATAGGAGACACAAGGGTGAACCAAACGTATTTGACCAAGCCCAAATTGTTATAGGAATCATTATAAGTCAAAATCTACCGAGTAATAATAGGATGACTCTCAACTTCAAGAAAAAAAACTTCATAGAAACAAAAATCCAAAGCTTTCGAAAGAGCAAAACCATATTGATGTTTTAGTTAGATCTATTGACGCTTGAGTAATCTACACAACAGCTTCGTCAAAAATATGTCGTGAATTTTCAACCATAAAAATAAAATATTTGTATTTTTTACTTCAATTAGACAAATGGTGTTGAGAATTACATCAGCATGTAAAATATTTCTTAAAAACTAACTGTTCTCAACCATCAATTCTTATGATTGGATGGAAGAAGCTTAAAAAAATTCTATGTCATAATCTGACTTGCGAGTGACTATATAGATTCCTCTGCTTACAACAATATTTTTTAACTATGTTTTTCTAAGATGTTTATCTCCCTAGTTTTTTTTTTCATATAATATCTTATAATTTGCGGGCTGAATGCATTCTAGTTCTTTTGTATTCATGTTATATTAATTTCAACATGAAACATTATAGATGAAAATATGTAAATTTATTATGTAAAACAAAATGAGTTTTTAACACTTTATACTTTTCATTTACATTTTCTACTCAATTAAATCTCACAATTATCACTTAATGGAGATAATGCTTCAACTTTGGAGGTTAGCTAGGGATCAAAGATTATATGAGTGAGGTGTGTGTACTTATGCTATCCCACTCAAAATGAAAAAAGTAAATGCAAATCACCATCCCTAGATTCTACGAGAGATTGATAAAAAGTATAGCAAATCACCATTATCAAATTTCTTGAGAGATATTTGATGTATGTAATAACATGAATGTTAAAATTTAGTGTTTCTATCATTATTTATGCTTAAAATTTATGTTTTTTTTAGAATTTAAAGAAAATTAAATCACAAGGTAATGCACAATTTTGAGCACATAAACGTCAAATTTGTGATCTTCATGGTATGAACCAAAGCTTTCAACAATAAGGCTTAAGTGGGTTGTAAAGGTGTTTTGGCATTGAATTAACTTGTTGAGCTATATTAAGACCTAATGATCATCCCTTTACTAACTTTACATCCTAAAACTTTCATATTTGTAGTTTCAAAAAGCATGTTCATATTCTTACTAATTAATAAAATATAAACCAGTAGGTTAACTAACTGAGCTATTTTAAGACATCAATTATAATCATAGTCATTAATTTTATTTATAACGTGTATATTTTTTAAAATTTTAATTTGATTCATATTTTCACCATTCTTATTCAAAAGCATATATAAAATAATCAATATTGTTAGAATTATAAATATTTGATATGAAAAAATATAATTTGTTAAAGCAATGGATAGATATATTATTTATGATTTCCATGACATTCAAAGGAAATATATTTCTAATTCATCCTACATTAGTTCTCATGAATTTATATAAGAAAATTATTTGACTTTGTTATCTAACAACCTCTATTTAAAGTGTGCATCATGAAGCTCTTACATATATATACATCGTAAATGCTTTAGAAACTACTACCAAAGCCTATATTGTTGAAGCTACATCACTTGATACTCACTGTTTCGATGAAAAATGGATAAAGAACTACTCCCGACTTAATATGATTTATCATTCATCTATGAAAAAAAGAAACATATGGATTTACATATCTTCATTTATACTTTTGATAAGTTTACATATGCATGCATTAATTTGTAAAGGCCAAATTAAGTTTTGTGACACCCTAATAACTCATATTTAACAAGTCTAAGACAAAAGGAGATATTTGAAGAACAAAAAATATAATTTATAAGATTACATAATTCTCATGTTGATACATCTTCGAACATATCACGACTATGGCTGGCCAAGTTGAGATATAGGACAACTAATATGACTCAAGGATTTGGGTAATTTACATGCAATCCACACAAATTTTATGCATTTATATAACTCATTATTTAATATCTACTTTTATAACATTAATAATCTGATTTCAGTATTGTCGATCCACACATATAATATTTAATATTGGGTTTAAGCTCATGGAAACAGCCATGAACATAGCTATGTTGACTGCATTTTTGGTGAGGTCTAATTTTTTTTTCTTATGCCTTAGGATCTAGCCATAGGATTTCCTTATTGACTATCCTAGAGGACTAGTGATGAGACCCGCCTCACTTAGAAATTATAGCCACCTCTTGACTCTTTTATGTAGTCTCACATTGGTGGTCTCAAGTCCTCATCTTTTGGTTGAGATGAGTATGACCAACATGTTGAAGCTCAAAATGGGTTCCTATAGGATTATGAGGCCATAGGAAGACCCTGGGAGTGACCTTGGGAGTGACCTTAACCTGTTTCCATGAGCTTAAACCCAATATTGATCCAAATTGAGTATATATAATATTTATATATATATACTCATCTCAAATTTCACGACATGAACATAGCTATGTTGACTGCATTTTTGGTGAGGTCTAATTTTTTTTCTTATGCCTTAGGATCTAGCCATAGGATTTCCTTATTGACTATCCTAGAGGACTAGTGATGAGACCCGCCTCACTTAGAAATTATAGCCACCTCTTGACTCTTTTATGTAGTCTCACATTGGTGGTCTCAAGTCCTCATCTTTTGGTTGAGATGAGTATGACCAACATGTTGAAGCTCAAAATGGGTTCCTATAGGATTATGAGGCCATAGGAAGACCCTGGGAGCCTTGTCCACCTTCTCCCCACACTACCTCACACTCCCCACTTACCATAACCACCCGTACACCCTTTGGCCACATACTCACTGATGCACTATAAGCCATACCAAAATTCTAAAATTTCCCCCAATTTCTCCAAATTGCCCAAATCACTCAATTCACAACTTCAAACTCACCATAATAACCAAAATTGTCAACTTTCACCAAAATTACCCAATTTACACTAAATCCACCCTAAAATCATCATGAGAAACCCAAAACTTCATGAAGCCCATCATGATCCAATTTTCAAGCCCACTATAACCAATTTCTAAAGTCCATTTTCAAGCTCAAAACCAACCCTTCCTCACTTAATTTCAAAAGCCCATGACATAAGCCCAATATACAAGTTTTTCTTAACCCAAATCCACATGAAAAAATTCATCCCCATGATCAATTTAATCAATCATAAAGTTCAAAAATCTCATAATTAATCAAACCCATAGTTGAATCCCTGAAAATCCTTTCAACACTTGGAATTCTCCACCTCCTCTTTAATGCAAGCCATGAAAGCTATGCATGAGCCATAAGCAAGCCCTGTGGCTTCATCCAAGACAAATGGAACCCATGAAGCCAAGCATGAGTGACATGTGAGCCACCATGCCATTGGAGGCAAAAGGATGTCCTCCTTTCAACCTCTCTATAAGTGTTTAACAACTCTCATGATTCCTCTAAATCTACGATTAAGTCCTAATCTCTTGAATGTGGACTTGATCACACTGTTCCACCTAACCTCCACCAACCTTAGCCACCTTGGGAGTGACCTTAACCTGTTTCCATGAGCTTAAACCCAATATTGATCCACACATATAATATTTAATATTGAGTATATCAATCCACACATATAATATTTAATACCTACTTTTATAACATAAAAAATATGACTAATATTAAATTTAAAATGATGTGCATTATTTGATGCCTAAGTTACGCTGTGATTATGACATTAAAGAATTCTAAATGTAACTATCAAAATTTGAGTTTTAAATAAATATAAATATATAATAATTGTGTTATATGGATGTAAATTGCATAAAGGATTTGATGTAGTTGACTGATAACCATTTAAACTTATATATTACCTAAGTTTTCTTAATAACACTACCCCAATAACCAACAAAAGAGTGAACCGCAAGTCTATTTGACACTTTTCTGCTTGCCCGATACAATTTTGTGCTTG